TCTTACAATATAAGAAAAATAAAATCAAACGGATTTTGGAGAAAATGAGGAATACTTTTCAATAGGTAGACTACAATGCCCAACTCCTCCACAGAAAACAAACAAACAAAGGCAGACAGAATAATCATAATCATCAAAACACAATAATCAATAACAATAATCAAAACAGTCCATTTGTGTGTAGACATAGCTTACTGGTAGAAGGTAATGTTTCCTTCCTATATGCCTGAAGAGTAACTTAGCTGTAGTGAAAGTAAGCAAGGTGATATAAAGATGGTTCTAAGGTTTAGAATCCACAGTCTACAAGAAGTAATTATTCGAGAGCTGTTACTGCGGACAGTCCGCATCACTTGCTGACTCCTCTGGGCTCAGCGCAGTAAAGCAAAGGGTGATGTTATTCACAGCATGTTTTCAATAGCAGCCACCAGATGGCGATGTCACTCCAATCTCTTCCGGCAGTGAGTCCCAGTCCCTTAAGAACTGCAGAACTGAGGGTGCAATAACGTGCGTTCCCTCCCTCTGTCGTTATTCTTTTATAAAGCTGTGGAATGAAGGTAATTATAAATGGTGCTTTCTGTTACCACTAATAATTAAAAAGCAGGGATAAACCATGGAATGCCCAAGTCATCCAGTAATTTGATATTTGAAATTAATGAAGCTCTTTCATTTTTAGCCTTACCCCCTAGTTTGCTGCTGATGGAAGAAAGCAGCCGTGAGGATAAGGAAATTCGGGAGAAGAAAAGAGCTATTTTGCTTATGGGCTACAACTTTGGATTGCTTTTTACAGTGATGAAGGGTTTGGGAATTTTAATTTTAGTTCACAGAAGTCATAAAATCAGGCAATGAAAGTAAAATACCACACAGTCCCCAGGTTATAAGTGGTGTCTTATTGGCTGATTTAGTAATCCCAATCATGCTGTTTAAGGTCCCCCAATGAGCCAAATTTTCAGCTAATTTGTAGAAATGATGTAAAGAATAGGTCAGACTCACAAGAAATCAAAAGCAATGAAAGAAATATTTATCAACCTGGTAGTTTTCATTTATTGTAACATAATTGTACTCCCGGAAAAGTAGTAAGTTCACTTGACAGTTAATAAGGGTTGATGGATTGATTGAGCTGGCTTTCTATTATCAAGAATAAATGAAAAGATTATTACATCGCTTGGGTTATGCGCCTCAGAATTGGGACTAAATGCTGCAGGAACCATTCCAGTACAAAACAAAAAACAACAACAACAAAAAAAACACCCCTCTTTTGACTACCTTGGTTTATGCTGACTTCTTCCTTTTACCTACGAATATAGCACATACAGCGCCAAGTTTTAAAAAGTAATTTTCCAAAGTTTTCCATGGAAAACTTACTCCTCAGGTCAATAAAAAGCGTGATAAGATAGATTTGGAAAATGTTAAGTTAAACAAAAGGAGCTCTGGTGGCATAGTGTTTAAGTGTTGGGCTGCTAACCAAAAGGTCTGTGGTTCAAACCCACCAGAGGCTTCAAGGAAGAATTCAAGCCTAGGAAACCCTATGGAGTAGTTTTACCCTGTCCTATAGAGTCACTATGAGTTGGAATCAACCTGATGGCATGCAACAACAACAGATTAAACAAAATGAAATGTATTTCTTTATTGCAAGACTCATTGGGAGCCTTTAATATGCTAATGCTCATTGCTAATCATCAATAATTAAGTATGCAGTACATATTTACTGAATTTACTTGGCTCCAGTACTTTTTTTTTTAATAAAGCATTTCACAGCATACACTTCTGAAAAATCATAATATTGTGGAGAAAAGAGTTTGGGAGTGAGAGAGCTGGAGAATTGTGACCAAAAGTATGAGCATTAGGTGTGCATCCTTTATTGAGACATAAACCTTCATTTTCTTAATTTCTCTCACCATGGCTGGGAGCCATGGAAGGTCAAGTCCCCTCCTCTAAGCCTGTCTCATTACTTCTTAGCTAAGTCTTAGTGTTGGCCAGGATCCTCATGCACAGAAAGGCAATGACCTAATTAATCACTGGTCACCACGCATCTGTCAGTTTGTCATACTTTGGTGGCTTGCCTGTTGCTGTGATGCTGGAAGGTATGTCACCAGTATTTCAAATACCAGCAGGGTCACCCATGGTGGACAAGTTTCAGCGGAGCTTCCAGACAAAGACAGACTAGGAAGAAGGACCTGGCAATCTACTTCTAAAAACATTGGCCAGTGAAAACCTTATGAATAGCAGCAGAACATTGTCTGATATAGTGCCAGAAGAAGAGCCCCTCAGGTTGAAAAGCACTGAAAATATGACTGGGGAAGAGTTGCCTCCTCAAAGTAGAGTCAACCTTAATGACGTGGATGGAGTCAAGCTTTCAGGACTTTCATTTGCTGATGTGGCATGACTCAAAATGAGAACAGACAGCTGCAAACATCCATTAATAATTGGAATGTGGAATGTACAAAGCATGAATCTAGGAAAACTGAAAGTCAACAAAAATGAAATGGAACACATAAAGATTGATATCCTAGACATTAGTGAGTTGAAAGGGACTGATATTGGCCATTTTGAATCAGACAATCATATGGTCTGCTATGCTAGGAACAGCAAATTAAAGAGAAATGGCATCACATTCATTCTCAAAAAGAACATTTCAAGATCTATCCTGAAATACGACGCTGTTAGTGATAGGATGATATCCATATGCCTTCAAAGAAGACCAGTTAATTCACCCACCAACCACTAATGCCAAAGATGAGGAAATTG